CAGTCGTCGTAGACCTGGATCAGAGTAGCCTCCGTCGTCCGTTGGCCGGAAGTGTCCAGGGACTGTTTGCACTCTAAAGCCCAACTGACCGTAATCAGGGTTTGCAGGGATGTTCTGGGGGAGTGCGACTGTTAAACGTTTCCCTCACTATCCCGCGATGTAGCAACTCGGTTTACCGAACTGTCCTTCCTTTCGCAGTACGTCCCCTTGGGCAGAAGGGGGTTCGGTACAGTATAGATTACGGTTCAACCCTGTCTTCTTGTCATTGTTTGAACCGGACTTCCCTATTATTAGAACCACCGAGTTTCATGGCCTTCTGTGAACGATGGCAGCTGTTCGATAAAAGAAAAAATACCCGCTTCTCCTACTGCTTTCTGCATACGTCTCCGATGAGGAATCCGCGACGGATGTCGAAACGTCAGACGAATAAAAGTGTCGTCCCAGCGATCGAATGTTCTTCTCAAAAAGATTATTGCCAATACAAGCGAAACTGTTGGTTCCAGAGAGTAATTGAGAAGAAGCATATGTGATCGCTAGTACAAGAACTTTATCCGTCTGACGTTTCGGGTTCCGTCACGGATCCCTCATCAGAGATACTTGCAGAAACGGGTACACATGGCTTTGCAGTATTTATAGGATACAGTCGCTATGCTGGCGTTATATGAGGCGTTGGCCTGTGCGTTCCCCGACTGACTAACCGCTTTGCCCAAACTAAGCCTCGCCACCGAATTTGCGCTGGACGGGTCATTGAACTTGTTAGTAGACTGGGAGGCCATGAAACATGACACAAGTAACTAGCGACGGTAGTTATTTGAGAAAAGCAAAAAGATGATTCCCGGGAAGCAGTGTAGCAGAAGGAAGCGCGTTCACTGGAGCAGGAATCTTATTCATCATTCAAGGGAAACGAACCTCCCTCCCTGATGGTGTGTTCGGCGACGAATAATTGCACAACCCTTCTGAATGGCAAAGATTCAATTATCGAATATGGTGCATAGTTCAGTTTAGTTTATTTGAGAGAAATGTAGGTATTTAACTTTGAACTCCCCATTTGTGTACATCTATGTTCTGATATCAATTTAAAAATAGTCGCTCGGCTTATTGGCGATGCCAACTGACATGAGCCAATGAGGCGGAACAAGGAGAAAAAGGGAGTGGACAGTTGGGCCTCTGAGAAGAAGAAGACTCGATCGCTGGGACAATACGTTTATTCGCCTGACG